ACAGATTCCAGACTTACTCGTGAAGCCATCATGGAGTTTGTCCTCAGAGGAAGTTTCCTTAATTGATGGAACTTCTTGTTTCTTGTTTATTTTCAATTTTTCTTCCATTGACTTTGAGGATTGATTGTTACTTTGCGACATCCTAGTGTCTTCATTTTGTGAACTGAGCCTCTCTTGCTGTTCTTGCTGTTGCTGCCACTGCTGTTGTTGTAAATATCTGTGTCTGAATTCCACCTCTGGTGATTTGACACTGTCTTTTTCCAGTGACTTTGTCCGAGTTTCATCTTGAGTGACTCTCTCGTGATCAGCGGTTCCCGCATTCTCCTGTCGAGCAAACCTCTCATTCCCGCCAATGCTGGCCTTTTCCTCGACAGTCTCTACGTGGCTCTCTCGATCCTCATCAAATGTGTTTGTCCAATTCTTGAGACCATGATCGAAATCCTCAGCCAATTTCGCATTGATTTCATCACCGGGGGTGGAAAAGGTGTCTAATACCTCTCTACGAATAACAACTTCAGGATCTGAATCCAAAGACGCTTCGGGAACGGGAAAATTGTAATTTTCTCTCTCTTCAGTAACATCCGCCATGTTGTTCTTCAATGTAAATATTGCAGTGTGCATGCAACTTGCTGTAGCTTCGCTGACCGAAAGTATCGCTGCTCTTGTTTTGATAGTCCCCAGTTTCCCGCTGTTTCCCGCGGAATTGCAGCTCTAGTTACCATGACACCTCTGTAAACTTCTCCATGGCGGCATTTTTCATCCGGTTCGTTTTATCCATCGACGTTTCCGATCTTTGCCCATTGCATTGATGTTGTGATATCTTCTGTGGGCAGGAGCTTATTTAAAATGTCTAGGGCACAAGCTGAAAGTGTCATCAAGAATATTATACGCGAAATTGCTCAAGAATGCGCCAGTAAAGGGCAGGCGGTTTCAGAGACTCTTGTAGCGTTTATGGTGGGTCGATTTTCTTGGACAAAGTAGAACCGTCGAGCTTGTGTCTTTTTCTTTGTACCGATCAGCCTATTTTAAAGTTTTTGCATCTTTCATATTGTTTATTTTGATTAATTTTAGGTCAAAGCAGTTGTTTTAGATCCTGATAATGAATTTAACGTGGACAGAACTTTGACCAAAGATGACGTACAGAAACTTATCATGGTAGGTACTGGGAAGAAAGATGCAATGTAACCCTGTGTACAGGATGTACATGAAGTGAACCTTAATTTAATAATTGATGGGTTTATGATCCGGAGGGCTTCAGAAATTCTCATCAATCCAGTGATGTTTCGCTCAGCGACTGTTTCTGGCACATGTGAATTAATAGAGTATTTAAGGAACCTAAGAGCTGCTCAAAATACATGATTTTGTTCCGCACGATCGCCATACGCTTTAGCGAATAAGTTGAAATGAATGAATAGTTAACTGGTTACTGGTCACTTAGACCCCAAGTCGATTAGCTCTTAGCCAGTTAGCTCTCAACGAGAAGTCGATTATCCTCCATATTCACGCTTAAAGAACGAGAAATCAACTTCTGTTTGGGAGCTAATTGACTTCTGGTTGGGGCTAAATGTTTAGGGGCTAGTTGTCTTGGGGCTAAACGACTGGTTGCCACTTAACTTGGTACTGGACTAATTTACTGCGCCCTCCATAACACACGAATTATAACAAACGGATTCTTCGGCTCCTTTGATGCACCATGATCTGAGTGATCTTGCATAATGTGTTTTCTGCATTTCTGCCAAAACCTTCTTAGTCTTGCAAAACAAATGAAGACTCCTAAGATTAAGTGAAAAAATTCAAGATGATAGGACCTGTTGAATTTGACTTATGTTCTATGAAATCTGTAGTTTATGAACACATGTACTACCATGGGGGATTTAATTTTTGCAGGTTATAATTTTTGCAATTTTTTTCCACAATCTGCCAAAAGAGTTCCTGCAAAAGTAGATTCTTGCAAAAATTTTCTCCACAAAAATTTACTCTACTGGCGAAATTAATCATACAAACATCACAAGTAGAATCTTGTTACTTATAACTATCAACCACATTAAAGCACAATGTAATTGTAATAGAGTGACACTGGCTACTGGATTACATGACTTCCTGAAAATCGCAAAAATTAATACCCAGCAAGAAAAACCAGTCCTTTACAATCGCAAAAATGAATTCCCGCAAAATAAAAAAAATCACTGATTTGCAAAAATAAACTCCTGCAAAAATTTAGTGCCACATGGTAACACCCCTTCAAGTATACGTGTATGGTACTCAGAAATGAAGTGCTTGCACAGCACCTAAATGGGCTTGTTTTGTTACATAGCTTTGTGTGGACAGATTGCTGGACTCACAGTCTCCTTCGTTGGATACAGTCAAGATGCAGGTGTATTTCGATATGAATTACACCAGCCGAGGTATCACTAGCTTTAAAAAAATTGTTATGATTCACATCATAGAATTTGATCCCTGGGGGGGGGGGGGGGGGGG